GAGTGGGCACTGTCGGAGGGTCAGTGCTGAGGGAGCGCCGCACTGTCAGAGGGTCAGTGCTGAGGGAGTGGGCACTGTCGGAGGGTCAGTGCTGAGGGAGAGCCGCACTGTCGGAGGGTCAGTGCTGAGGGAGCGTCGCACTGTCGGAGGGTCAGTGCTGAGGGAGCGCCGCACTCTCAGTGGGTGGCCTCTTTCCACCTATGCCCCTCTCAGTCCCTGAATAGGAACGTGCCTTTTGTAAATATTACAGATCACCTTCCAGGACATCAAAGACATCATCGACAAAATGAATCAGATCACCTTCCTGTTCAATAAGATTGCAGATTTGGAAGAACAGGTGACTGCCTTGAAGAAATGTGAGTGTTACCACATCGTTTCCTCTTGCTGTTTGTTTGGTGGAGCCTGTTTGTTTGGTAGTGCCTGGTCATTATCGACGAGTGTTTTCCTCAGGTCCTGCCATGTTGGATGAGACCATTGTGGGTCTTGTGATGGCTCTCCTGGTGGGTTTTCACTCTATTTTTGAGCGAGCTGACATTGCTCGCCCAAGCTTTGGAAAGTGATGGGACCCAGCGGCCTGGAGAGTCAAACCCATGACCTGATTAACTTCTCGACCCTGAGTCACAACGGTAACAGGTGATGGTCATCTCCCACAAGAAGGAGAACCATCCATTGCCCTTTGATGACCCAAGATATTCCCGCCAGCAAATCCCCAACATCTAGAAATTTCCCATTGAGTTCTTCTCCAAGTCATCCCTGTCCTTCTCTCTCAGTTTGTCTCTGTCTCTATCTCTCTCTCATCCTTTAAAAAGTTCCCCTGAGGCTCACTTCTTTGACCAGTATTCCATAGTCACCCAACTTCAGAACATGCCTAAACAATAAAACCAAATAACTGTGGACACTCTGAAGCCAAGAGCAAGCGGCACAGTGGTTCACTGGTTAGCACTGCTGCCTCACGGCGCCAGGGACCCGGGTTCGATTCCACCCTCGGGGTGAAAGTCTGTGTGGAGTTTACACATTCTCCCCATGTCTGCGTGTGTTTCCTCC